CCCCAAAACCCCAAAACCCCAAAACCCCAAAACCCCAAAACCCCATAATTTTCGAACTTTGCTGAAAATAAAAGGCTTTAGCTAGTACAACTTCCCTCTCTTATTGAACTTCTGGATTGATGGAAGCTCTTCTGAACCTCCTACATCCAGCTTGATCGTGTTGGTAGGTCTAGTCCTGAGATGATCGTTCAGTTTTGAGGAGTTCATGTTTCCGTAAGCTTGGAAATTTGGAGGGCTCTGTCTCCTGTTCCTTGTAAAATTTCTGTAAAAATTATCATATGGGTCTTCAAGTCCCTCATTTGTTCCTGGAATCATAACTGAGTTATCTAGATAGAACATAAATGGGATTCTTTTGGACTACTAGTTCTTACTTAGTTTAGCAACATCTCTATTTTTCTCATTTTTAATAATGATCTCGCTTTTGTTCCTTGCCAGCATACTTAAATTTTGTGGCTTTTCTGAAAATTTTAAAGCATATTAATACCTATAGAATGTTTCTCAAGGCGACTTTGGTTTTTAATCATCTCCCCCAACTTTTGGAATTTAGTCTTTGGAGAAAAATTGATAGAATTAGTATCATCAAATTTCTTTACTCTATAATGACTCATATGATACGGATCTAGTCTAGAAGAATGAGCAGATCTCATCAATTGATCTCCATTTGTCTCCATATAAAAGCTTTCTCCATTCGGCCTCTTTACTCTTAGTGTAGGGATGGGTGCAGGAGATCTCCTAGCTCTTGCACTGGGCTTAAAATTTACATCAGTGTAATCAAATATGTTATACTCGCTTATATTCCTTGGCTATTCGATAAATATTGATATTCCTACTTTTAATCTCAAGGGGCTTGAGCCTTCTATGTCTCTATTTGTTAAGTTATTCTTTGCTCTTCCTTCGAACAATTTTCTTGGCTTGGCACCAATAATATCCTACAGATTATAGACAAAATTAAGGCTAAGACTTACATTATTTGTTAAAGAATCTCTCAGAAAACGGGGCTTGAGCTCGCTGCTAGGCCCTCTCTTCAAAATAGTATGATTTCTAGTCGGAGGAATTGCTGGATCCCCTGCTTCTCCCCTTACTGGGTTGACCTTCTTTCCTAGAGGCTGGAGCTCAGTCTTTTGCCTAAAATTATATCATCGAAACTCACATTTTTGGAAGGAGGTAAGCCTCAGGCTTATAGAACAACATTTTATTTTATTCTATAACTTGCAGTGAAGAAGGGGTTTTGGGGTTTTGGGGTTTTGGGGTTTTGGGG